TCTTATTCTAAAAATAAGCTAATTCTGTATGCTGTCGATTGAACGTGGTGATCTAGGGCGTGCCGTTCTGTCGAGCAGCCTTCCGTTTAAATCACGCCACGCGTTCATTATGCGGCAGTCCCAGCTGCCTCAATGACGTCCCACGACCCGTGGGAGGCATCTCTATTAACCCCGCACGTACGCTTCCAATGTTTCAGTAACGCCATTTGGCTTGTGACAGGCAACCTCACACAAACTCTGCCGCTGTCCCAGTGACGTCACCTTGCAATAACAGCTACCTGCTGCCCTCAAGCGAACCTCTGTAACTGTTCCAGTGATGTCACCTTTGCAGCCAGTCTCACAGCTGCAGAATACCTCAGCGACCTCTGCAGCTCTCTCTGTGACGTCACCTTGCAGTAACAGCCTCATCTGCTGACCCCCCCCAACGACCTCTGCCGCCGTCCCAGTGACGTTACCTAACCGTCACAGTCTCACCTGCTGACGTCAAGCGACCCTCTGCCGCTGACTCAGTGACGTCACCTTACAATCACAGTCTCACCTGCTGCCGTCAAGCGACCTCTGCCGCTGTCCCAGTGACGTCATCTTGCAGTCAGTCTCGCCTAGTGATCTCCAGTGACATCTGCACTTGTCCCAGTGACGTCACCTCGCGGTCAGTCTCACCTGCTGACCTCCAACGACATCTTGTTTACATGGGCAACTATGATTCGAATTAAGCCGAGGCCCGTCCTCGATCCGAACTATCGGGCCCATGCACACGCTCACACGCCGCTCCGCTAATTGGCCAAACATGGATCTTTGTGCCATTTATTGGACAACCTGCGGTTATCAGGAATTTTGTTGCACCAACGAGGGCTCTCGCGCCCGGGTCAAATGCCCCGGCCAGAAGTCGCCAGAGGGCCTTCCGCGCCAGGGAGGGCACCAATGTAGGACGGACATCTGTGAGAGCCTCAGGAAGAACCCATCCGGGGAACCCGCTTCCATGTCGCCAGAATGGCAGCTGGTAGACACCCCGAACTGGGACGGAATGCTCTGTAGGGAATTGCCTGAAAGGATAGTGTGCATCTAACTTTTCACTAATTGATTTGGCTTCCGGTTGAACATTTCCAGATGAAATAGGACTGCCTGTGTTTATACAAGTTGCTGACCTCCCTTAGATTTACGGTCAATGTTCACGGGATTCCCAATATCTCTGTAGTGTGTGGGACACCCTCCCTTTGATAATACAAACTACGCTTCTGTCCGGTGTGGAGAGCCTAAGCCTCACCTGCTGACCTCCAGCGACCTCTTCCGTTGTCCCAGTGACGTCACCTTACAGACACTGTCTCACCTGCTGACCTCCAGCGACCTCTGCAGCTGTCCCCGTGACGTCACCTCCCGCCGGCTGACCTGGCCCGACCTCGGCAGATGGCCCGTGCGGAGAGCGGCACGCGGCGCGACCAGCCGGCGTCGCGCTGGCCCGGCCTGCTGTCCGTGGCAGCGCTGCTGACGCTGCTGCTGGCGGTGTACCTGTACCCGTACCTGACGGCCGAGCCCCCACTGCCCGAGCTGGCCGACACCTGGTGGCTGAGGTCGCCGCGGCCCGACGTCGAGGACACGATCGTGCGGCCCTTCAGCATCACTTCCCCGCCCGGCCTCATGGACGACATAAGGGTCAGCGGACACCTTGGCCGAACCCACGGCTTTCCAGGAGTGGACTGACGTTAGAATGACGTCACTGGCCGTAAGCCGCTCTGGATGCTTGTCACGTAGCGCTTATGAAGTGGGTGCATTTCTCGCCACGAATATGGCTTTACGGTATCAGGCGAAGTGGCTATAAATTGAAAGCCTATCCGTGGAGGCCGACCCCACGGGCCTTATGCCCCCCCCCCCCCCCCACACCCCTGTGACGGGCGCGCTCGTGTTCCGACCTGCAGGCCCGTCTGACGAAGGCGGAGAGTCGGCTGACGCCGCCATTGGAGGGCGCTGCCTTCAACTACGGCTTCAACAGCGACTACCTGCGAGAGGTGATGGAGCACTGGCGCACCAAGTACGACTGGAACCGGCGGCTGCAGCAACCTCAATCAGTTCTCCCAGTTCAAGACAAACGTCAACGGACTGGACATCCACTTCATCCCACGTCAAGCCCAAGGTACTGCCACAAACCGAGACGTGAATCAGCATCGCACGGGCTGGGACCACACCCTCTGATCTGGAATCACACTCTCACTCGCGACACGTGTGTAACGCTGCTCGCGCGAGCAGAGAGCGGCCCCGCCTTGGCTGATGTCCCATCCCGGCATGTAAGGGTACCGATAATCTGGACGAAACTGCCTTCAATCGCGTAGCCCGAACGCACGGGGGAGCGCACAGCAGGCATGTTACAAAACATAGTCGTGCCGCACCCCCTGCCTTAGGGCGTCTTACGTGACAAGAAATGAGTGGACCGCTGCTGTGCTGACCGCCCGCACCCCTCAGACACCGAGTGACAAGTACCGGGTGGAGCCGCTGCTGTGCTGACCGCCCCGCACCCCTCAGGCACCCGAGTGACAAGTTACCGGGTGGAGACCGGGCTGGTACTGACCGCCCCGCACCCCTCAGGCACCGAGTGACAAGTACCGGGTGGAGCCGCTGCCTGTACTGACCGCCCCGCACCCCTCAGATACCGAGTGACAAATACCGGGTGGAGCCGCTGCTGCACCGACCGCTCAGCACCCCTCAGGCACCGAGTGACAAGTACGGGTGGAGCCGCGCCGCTGTTTACTGACGGCTTCGCACCCCCTCAGGCACCGAGTGACAAGTACCGGGTGGAGCCGCTGCTGTACTGACCGCCTCCGCACCCCTCAGGCACCGAGTGACAAGTACCGGGTGGAGCCGCTGCTGTACCGACCGATCCGCACCTCTCAGGTACCGAGTGACGAGTACCAGGTGGAGCCGCTGCTGCCACTGACCGCTCAGCACCTCTCAGGTTGCCGAGTGACAAGTACCGGATGGAGCCGCTGCAGTACTGACCGCTCCGCACCTCTCAGGTACCGAGTGACAAGTACCGGGTGGAGCCGCTGCTGCACTGACCGCTCCACACCCCTCAGGTACTGAGTGACAAGTACCGGGTGGAGCCGCTGCAGTACTGACCGCTCCGCACCTCTCAGGTACCGAGTGACGAGTACCGGGTGGAGCCGCTGCTGCTGTTGCACGGCTGGCCCGGCTCGGTGGTCGAGTTCTACAGTGTGCTGCCGCTGCTGACGACGCCACGGCCCGGCCACCGGGTGGTGTTCGAGGTGGTCTGCCCGTCGCTGCCCGGATACGGCTTCTCGTCGGCGGCCGAGCGACCCGGCCTGGGCGCGCCCGAGGTGGCCGTCGTCATGCGCAAGCTGATGCAACGGCTCGGCTTCGAGCGCTTCTTCGTGCAGGGCGGCGACTGGGGCGGCATCATCGCCTCCCACATGGGCACCCTGTTCCCGGAGCAGGTGGCGGGTAAGTGGTGCGGCGCGCCGCCGTCCAGGCGACACGGTCGCGGCGCGTGACGATGGACGTTCAGAATACGTGAATGCGGGCGTGTTGCATGATTTGCCGCTGCGTTGTGCAAACGGCCACCGGTTATGCAGTACGCATTGCATCAACCAGCGATTAGATCGCACACGCGCTGCGTTAAAAACAAGATCCCAACCACGCTCCGTTGTGGATTGACCCGCCAGACCGTGATGCGAGCCGCACCAGCGTGGCCTCTGTGCACGGGCCCCAGGCGTAGCAGTCACGCGCCGCCGCCCCGCGCTCACCCGCCGGCGCTGTTACAGGCGTGCACACGAACTTTGCCGTGGCGGACACGTGGCGGATGCGGCTGCTGATGGCGCTGGGCAGCATCGTGCCAAGCTGGGCCGGCTCCGAGTTCTTCACCAGCCGGCTGTACCCGCTCGGCGAGAAGTTGGCCGTGCTGGCGCGCGAGACGGGCTACGCCCACCTGCAGGCCACCAAGCCGGACACAGTGGGAGTGGCGCTGTCGGACTCGCCCGCCGGCCTGGCCGCCTACATCCTGGAGAAGTTCTCCAGCTGGACCGACATGACCAACGTGGCGCGCGAGGACGGTGGCCTGACGCGCCACTTCTCGCTGGACGCGCTGCTCGACAACGTCATGGTGTACTGGCTGAGCGGCAGCGTGACGAGCTCCCTGCGGCTGTACGCCGAGACGTTCGGCCGGCGCGTGGCGGCCATGCAGCTGGACGCCATCCCGTGTCGCGTGCCCGTCGGCCTGCTGTATGCGCCCAACGAACTCATGCTGCTGTCGCCGGCGATGCTAGCCGGCAAGTTCGTGGATGTGGTGGCGGCGCGCCAGCTGGGGGACGGCGGCCACTTCCTGGCCATGGAGCGGCCGCACGAGCTGGCCGAGCACGTGTTCGTCACCGTCACCGCCATACGGCGCCGCGAGGAGCTGCAGCTGGAGAAGCAGCGGCAGGCCGAGCAGGAGAAACAGCGCCAGCGGGAGACGGAAAAGCAGCGGCAACAGCGGGAGAAGGAGCAGCGGGAGCATCGCGCCCATCAGGGCAAAGAGAAGCAGAAGCAGCAGCAGAAGCAGCACAAGCAGCACAAGCAGCAGAAGACAAAGCAGTAGTCAGACAAAAATGCGAGATGAGTAACCTCATCACCATCGATCACCGACGGACCCATGGGGAAGAGATCAATATTTGCCATGAGACCGGACGGAAACTCCTACCAAAGGGTAAACTATGGCCCGCTTATTGAATCGCGCAGATAAAGCGTCGCGTTGCGCAATGAAGGGCTGGAGAAAATCAATAGAACGCCCAGAGGGGATGATGCTTCAGCGTCAAGAACGACCATAGCGGGTGAAACATGTAACGAACTGTTTTTGCAGCCAGGTATGCTAACCACGTCGTTCTGCAATCTGGCCACACCTAAACACCGTGTCACGTTTTCAGCAAAAGGGCATTGCCGCGTTTGCTAGACAGTTCAAATACACAGCTTTTAACAAACATTCTGTTTATTACACACGTACACGAGCGTATGTCGCAGAGCTAGAGGCCAGCCTCAGCGCGGTCGGGCCGGCTGGCCGGCCGGCATCAGTCCTCCATGTCGGTGAGGCCGGGCCGGGTGGGCGTGCGCCGCGCCCGCTGACCCCCGGTTGAACGAGGCGCCCACGTCGTTCGGCGCCAGCCGTTTCCGCAACCCCAGGATCGGCGACGTTAGCGCGTCCTCCAGGGTCTGGCGGAGGGTGGTGGAAGGTGAGGGCAGCCCGTCCAGGGTCTGGCAGAGGGTGGCGGGAGGTGAGGGCAGCCCGTCCAGGCTCTGGTGGAGGGTGGCGGGAGGAGAGGGCAGCCCGTCCAGGGTCTGGCGGTGGGTGGAGGGTGGTGGGAGGTGAGGGCAGCCCGTCCGGGGTCTGGTGGTGGGTGGTGGGAGGTGAGGGCTGCCCGTCCAGGGTCTGGTGGAGGGTGGTGGGAGGTGAGGGCTGCCCGTCCAGGGTCTGGTGGAGGGTGCCGGGAGATGAGGGCAGCCCGTCCAGGGTCTGGTGGAGGGTGGTGGGAAGTGAGGGTTGCCCGTCCAGGGTCTGATGGAGGGTGGTGGGAGGTGAGGGCAGCCCGTCCAGGGTCTGGTGGAGGGTGGTGGGAAGTGAGGGTTGCCCGTCCAGGGTCTGATGGAGGGTGGTGGGAGGTGAGGGCAGCCCGTCCAGGGTCTGGTGGAGGGTGGTGGGAAGTGAGGGTTGCCCGTCCAGGGTCTGATGGAGGGTGGTGGGAGGTGAGGGCTGCCCGTCCAGGGTTAGGTGAAGGATGGGGGAAGCCTCGGACCGCCCCGGCACGGGGCCCACACCGCACGGCTTAACACACTCTTCTTCGTGAGATGTTTTGTCATTCAGTGCTGTACTCTATGGTCAGATCGTATCAGCCGCCCAAACCTCGCCAGTCTGCTCCATGCGTGGTGCAATGAAACTCTCCTTCTCCGCGACGCGAGATTAAAATAAGACAGCCTGATACAACAACGGTTGTTGTACGCCTCAAATTTGGCCATGACTAATAAACCGGATTTTTTGGATTTGTGAGCACACTAAGAAAAAAAACGTCGAAGGAACATCTTCCATGCGGAATGCACAGCTTCATCAAATACCGCTCCACTGTGCTCCAGCTCTAAGCTCTCAAACGAGGACCGCTCCAGCACACGCCACCGCACCTGTCAGCGCGACAACCCGTCGTACTCACCGCGTCCCTAGTGAGTCCGTAGCTTTGGAGGCCTTGTTTCACGCTCTGCCACTTGGCGTTCACCTGGGCGTCATTTTTCCTTTGCACAGAAGCCTCGACGCGGTCAACCTGCCGACGTGAAAACGCTGACGGGATTTCTCAGCACTTGTATGGGGTTTGAGCTGCTGTGGCCATCTTGCAGACCATTCGCTGCGGTCCACAGCCCTGCCCTTCATAAGGCATACAACCCTCTAGTTTCTGGGCTACACGCCCACAAAAACCTGCAGTTTATTCCGTGCGGACTATCAGCGCTATCAAATCCCGCCATGCCACTGGTCATGCGGCGTACAAGGTCAAGAAAAATATAGCTGTCGAGTCGCTCATGTGAGGACACTCACGGCGTCCGAGACAACGGCGAAGCCGTCTCGTAGCTTGTACGGCAGGTCGGCCAGCAGTGGTTGTCCCAACGTCTCCACCGCCTCGGCCGGCCGGTCCAGGTCGGCCAGGCTGAGGGCCTGTCGGTCAGGGGCAGCCGTCAGGCACGGCGCCGGGTCAGTTGCAGTCCGAAGTGACGTCACGATCCCGATGACGTCACGCACCAGATGGCGCCTCGGGTGTCGGGTCAACAACAGCACGCCGAGCGGAATACGGCAGGCCGATGCCGGACTAGAGACAAGCTCAAACCGTGCTTCAGGTAGACAGATACCCCCCGCCGCCGCGAGGCCGAGAGACAGATACCCCCGCCGCACCCCTCCTCCCCTACAGACCGACCACGGGCTCCTGTCGCTGGCACCACGGAGAGCCCACCACCGCGAACTACACACCCGGGGGAAGTGGACATCCCGAACAAAAGGCGATCGCTTCCCAACTGGCTCCCATGGGCCGTCCGCGCCCCTGCGAGGCCACGGACGGCGGCGTGTCGGCCTGCGGTCAGGTCAGGTCAGGTCAGATCAGGTCGGGTGCCATCGCACCGGCCGCCATCGGCCGTCCACGTCCCGCAAGGCCACGGACGGCGGCGTGTCGGCCTGCGGTCAGGTCAGGTCGGGCGCCGTTGCACCGGCCAAGACGGCCTGTCCCGTGCGGCAGCGTACGGCTGCCCTGGGGCCAGTCGCACGGGACCGGACGCAGTGAGGGAAGCCCGGCCGGACGACAAGGGTGGGACGTCGAGACACACGGCTGACAATGGGTAACGACGGCTGATGATTTCTGAGGAAACGCGATACCAGATGGCGGGATGCCGATCACAAGGAGTGCGTGGCGTGCAAACGTGTGTAGCAGTGCTTGATTGAAGGCCACGCTGGTGCACCGCCTATCAACATGCCTCGCAGTGTGACGGTGAGAGTGGAGCGAGACGTCACAGTCGGGGCCTGGCCGCCGTCTCTTTACGGTGGGTCTGGCAGTGTGACGATGAGAGGGGAGCCAGACGTCACAGCCGGGGCCTGGCCGCCGTCTCTTTACAGTGGGTCTGGCAGTGTGACGATGAGGGGGGGGGGGAGCCAGACGTCACAGTCGGGGCCTGGCCGCCGTCTCTTTACAGTGGGTCTGACAGTGTGACGATGAGAGGGGGGCCATACGTCACAGTCGGGGCCTGGCCGCCGTCTCTTTACAGTGGGTCTGACAGTGTGACGATGAGAGGGGAGCCAGACGTCACAGTCGGGGCCTGGCCGCCGTCTCTTTACAGTGGGTCTGGCAGTGTGACGATGAGAGGGGAGCGAGACGTCACAGTCGGGGCCTGGCCGCCGTCTCTTTACAGTGGGTCTGGCAGTGTGACGATGAGAGGGGAGCCAGACGGGGCCTGGCCGCCGTCTCTTCACAGTGGGCCTGGCAGTGTGACGATGAGAGGGGAGCGAGACGTCACAGTCGGGGCCTGGCCGCCGTCTCTTTACAGTGGGTCTGGCAGTGTGACGATGAGAGGGGGGCCAGACGTCACAGTCGGGGCCTGGCCGCCGTCTCTTTACAGTGGGTCTGGCAGTGCGACGATGAGAGGGGGGCCAGACGTCACAGTCGGGGCCTGGCCGCCGTCTCTCACCAACAGGTCTCGCAGCAGGGGCTTGGCCGTGTCCCTCCGCCGCCGGAGGAGCCGCAGCGCCTCGTCCGGCGCCCCCTGGCGCAACAGCAGTGCCACCGCCAGCGCGACGGCCCGCGGCGACGTGGCGTGTCCCACCTCCTCCAGTCGCAACAGCAGGTCGCGCACGTACTCAAACGACGCCGCCGAGTTCTGCGGCGCGAGCGACGACGCATCAGGGTCAGGGTCGGCGTCGGAGGCAACGAGTCAGAGTCACCCTCGGGCTCGCCGAGGACAAGTCGGAGTCAGCTGCGCGGGAGGGGAACTCAGAGTCGCCTCCACAGGTCAGTCAGGGTGGCCGCGAGAGCAGTCGGGTCCCATTCAGTCGTAGGAGGTGGGTCAAAAGCACCTCGCGTCGGGGGCGAATCGGAGCCCATCTTGGCGTGCTAGTCAGTGTCGGATGAGTCAGGGATGGTCTCAGAGGACGAAACGGACAGCTTTCGATGAGCCAGAGTCGGAGTCAGCTTCACAGGCCGAGGGAGAGTAGGAAACGGTACGAGGCAGGAGTCACGAGTCGAGTCCCGCCGTGGGTAAAGCCAAGGGACAGAGGACGGCTTTGGAATAGTCATCTCATTGAACAGCCTGCTGACGAGATTTGGTACTCGTATGTCAAATAACGTATTCGAATAAAAAACATTCCGTAACAGTTGACTGCACCGACGCGCTCACCGGGCTGTCCTTAGTGGCAGCAGTGTATCAACGACGTTCGTTTAGTCTAGCATTTTTTTTTAGAATTTTACTAAATGCGGCTCAATGCCTTAAAGAAAGACCATATGCTTGCGAAACCCAGCTCCACGCACACCTGCCGTGCATACTTGTTCTCTATGCCGCCAGCCCTCACCAGCTGGTAGCAGGCGGCCATGGCCAGGGCGACGCAGTCGGCCGGGTACTTGGAGCCGTGTAGCTGCCGTGTTTGCACCTCATCGAAGGTGTCCAGCACGTCCTGGTACCGACCCTGCTTGTACAGCAGGTCCAGCAGCAGCGTGAAGCTCGTCAGCTGGTCAAAGAAGCCGTCCAGCTCCGGATTTCGGAACGCCTGCGGAGCGGAGCGGCATTGTCGCAGCTTCGGACAGGGGGACACCGAGCAGCAGCCGGGCCACGCCTGCGGGGCGGGGCGGCACTGTCGCAGCTTCGGACAGAGGGACACCGAGCGGCAGCCGGGCCACGCCTGCGGAGCGGAGCGGCATTGTCGCAGCTTCGGACAGGGGGACACCGAGCAGCAGCCGGGCCACGCGCTGTGGTCTGGACAGGACGCATAACAGTAGGAGGAACGATCTTGACGCATCCTTTTACATAAAAAGATTCTCTCGTACGCTTTTCTGCCCGATGAAACCTGCGCTACACAGTTGTGGCGAACACGATTACACGTTTTGAATGAGCTCATTTGTGTTAGCGTCATAATGAGAGCGTTCACCGAAGTTCTGCTTACCTGAAGTGCCTGATCTGCCAGCTGATGGTGCCAGTACATTCGCATGACGACCGGACCAAAGACGAAACTACCGAATCGCACCGATGAAGCCTGTGAATGCAGCCTGTAAAACCAGACGTGATGTAAAGAAATGGCAGAACTAATAACAGCAGTTAAAACAGCTGTGGGGAAAGTGAAAAGGTTTATTAAACCCAATGAAAGGCTTAAAGATTACAACAAAGCAAAGGGATGAGAGAGCTGGCATTAGTGCAGATCGACTGCCAGACTGGCAGGGATGGTGATGAAAAGGGTTTCACCGGCCAGGATAGCAGGGTATATTCATTACCTGAACAACACCCGGTCTAAATGGGAACAGTGTCGCGTGCGCGCCCGAGTCGTTCGGGGGTCACCGACCGGGCAGCGAGCGGAGCCAAGCGGACCGAGCGCAACGGTGGGAGGTCGGACACGTGCTAGGACGAGCGCAGCGGCGCAGGCGCGCGCCCAACAATACATGCGACATCGTGTCAGCGATGGCTTGGTGGGGGCTGCCTTAAATTGGAACATCACCACCAAATGCATGGCAAGAGGCCACGATGGGTCATGCCCCAATAGTAAGACAGCGTTCATTTGCCAGAGACCATCGCCCGCGCAGCTGTCACCTGGTTATCATGCGCGTGAGGAGCACTTGGTCTTGCTCTTCAGCTTCGGCCACGTGTACCAGCTGACGTAGCTCCTCTGAGAAGGCCATACGCTCAAGGCCACTGGCGAACTTCTCCAGGCGCTGATGGAGCTCATCCTTAGAGTCGGCCAGACGCCGGCCCACCTGGGTCCGCCGCTGGCGGTACTCGTCCACGCCCAGCCGACCAGCGCCAAACAGGGTGCGAGCTGGCGGCACAGACAACTCGCCGCTGAACACCATCAGCTCAACTGCCTCATGACTGCACCATGATGACCTGCTTCACAACAAATGTACCTGTTGGGCCAATAGTGTAAAAATTATAACTCAAGCCCATCAGGAATGAAAAACTAAAAACATGGCTTGGTGCAGAACCATAAATTGGCACAAGATGAGCACTGCACTACATGCTTTGCAGCATGTTATGGCAGGTGATGAGCAAATAGACATGGCAGCCAATGCCCAAAGCAATTGAATTGAGAATTATAACCAATGCCATTGACCTGGGGGTCCAGTATAAAGGCTCAACTGAGGGCGAAACTAACTAAGTTTTACTTGAGAGCTTGGTTTCATGCACTAGTTTCTGGTGCTCATTTCACATTCATTAATGACAGGGACTGCAACAGACATGTTCCACATACTTTTTAAAGGCTGAAGTAGGGTAACCAACCTAAAATAACCAAGGTCAACATTCTGTTTTCAGAATATACTGCTTTGTGTTTTGCTGACACTTACTCAAATGACAAAATAGGGACAATCTTGTAGGTATTTAGTCACCTCAATCTCACAAAAGTCAAACAAGGTCACTGACCTAATTGACATTTTGCTTAGGACAGGTGCAGCAGCTTCAGTGGTTGCATGAGGAGGCATGGGGGCACTTAAGACACCAATCTGCAGTTTGGCCTTGTTTGACCTATTTGATCCAAGGCCATGACCTAGGAACATCAAATTTTGGTACAGGTGAGTTCACATATGGGCCAACACACTCTGTGAATTTGGTGTCTCTAGCTCTCCAAATTTCTGAGATCTAAAGGGTGAGGGTCAAATTGACATCCCATCACCCAGTGAAGGATATTCAACTGGTCACCCTAGCATGTGTTAACTGTTGGCGAATATCAATACAATACACTTGTGCATCCATTTCCGGAGCATGGAAATGTGTTATGGAGGTCATTCCATAGCAAAGACCAGAACCATATGGAAAGGGTGCAATAACCAGTTTTATATATAGCTAACACAGAAGCCTTCTTGCATACAAGCTCATTACTTGGCTTACTTAACAGGCCAGAGGACCTTATTCAGGTTCATGAAAAAGTTCACATATTTGGTAGTGATTAGACAAACCAACCCAGGTGGCTGATAAAGATGTTCCAAACATCTGACCTGCTGACCAGCTGGAGGTCCAATGCATTGAGGCTCTAGTCATGTCAGATATGCTTGTGCCCTGGCAATGATGTCACTTACCACTGCTTTGTTTGCATGCGATGCCTTAACAATGCAGTTCTCACAGGGCATGCATCTCTGGTTGTACATGAGCTGCCAACCAGCTACTAGCATCGGACATGGAAGAAGCTCAGGATATTCACACAGATCATGGTTTCTTATCCAGCATGGCACTGTGATTTTTTATTTCAATCCTTTATAACAATATAAGTACACCTAATTAAACTGCATTTGGACCACATGCTTGCATGTGGTACCAAAAAATGGCAATACTTGTAGGCCAGACTCAAGAGATCAACCACCATGTATCTAAAATCTTACCATGCCGGGATACAGCATCTCTCCGCCGCCCTAAAGCTCTCAAGGAACTAGGAATGATGGAGAACATCATTTCAGAAGTCAGGGAGCAAACTGATGAGCCAAAAGCTTAAAGACGAAAATATTCATTAGCTATATTCTTGCTAAAAACGCAAACCACATGATTACGTTTACACACTGTGATATGACCCTTAATCTCTGTGAGGAAAGTCGAGAGTATAAGGCAGGGTCTAAAAAACTGGCATATGACGCAGACATGCAAGTTTTTGGAAACGGCCTGCTGGATCACTTTAAAACCTTCACCAATGGATTCTGTGCAATAAGGTGAATCATGGGGAGGCAATAATGAGACCTGACCTGAGGTCAAACACCTCAAAAATGTGAGGGGAATATTTTACAAGTCAATGCAGACAGCTCAGATTTTGGGCCTACAGGACCAAACACTGTGGGACTTAACCACTGGATGCCCCATACCTGATTCCCTCTTGCAGTTCCAAATTTGGTGATGCTAGATCAGGTCAAAAGTCATCAAATTTCACAAAGTCCAAAATTATTGCTTACAGACAACCCATAGCTCAGGACCTACTGGCAGTGACTAGCCCAGGAGGTTCAGAACTATAAGTTGCCCTCAAGCAAGACTTTTGGACTTTGTGTAATTTGAAGGCCTTTGACCTGACCTGGGGTCCCCAAATTTGGAACCGGAAGCCAGAATCAGATAAGGGGCATCCAATGGTGAAGGTCTCACAGTGATTGGTCCCGTAGGCTGAGGACTGAGTTGTCTGCATCTGCATGTAAAATTTTCTCTTCACATTTTCGAGGCATTTGACCTCAGGTCAAGTCTCAACATCACCTCCCCATGACTTACATCATTGCACGGCATCGATTGGTAAAGGTTTCAAGGCGATCGGGGGAGCCGTCTTAGAAAACTTACGCGTCTGCGTCACATGCCGATTTTCTAGACCCTCCCAGAGTACATCAACGCGGCACCGGACGGTAACGCGCCAGCTTTGTATTGCATGCGCCGCCCAGAGGAAAATATAATCCGCAACTAAATCGCAAAATGGTCAGTTAGAGCACTGACGCCACGGAAAAGAAATACAATTGCAGATTGCGCATATCGCGCATTGCGTGTAGTACCCCTGTGCGAAGCTTGCGTCGATCGTGCTTGCTGTCTACCGATGAGCCTTGTATCAACTATGAAAGTGTCATCGTGTATCCAACACCATTGCTTTTCCCACCAGGGTCGCGTTCCCCCATCTGCAAAGTACCAACCTCAGTTGTCACCTATGAGGCCGCGAGTATCTACGTCAAACATCAGCGACTATCTCCAAACCGCAGGGGCTGTCGTGATGCACTTACATCTAGCGTCATAGCTTGCAACTTGTGGACAGCTGTTGGCGATGGGGAACGCGGCCCAGGTGTAAACCAAGCACCATGGACGGTTCTCCACAGGCGCGCATCTGCGCGCTCACTTGGAAGATGAACGCCGGATCCATGGCACGTGAAATGGGCTGACTGGCACTTGGTTTAATTTCGCTGACGCCTGCCGCACCGCCGACACATGGGTGTGCACGGTCTTCGCAGGCTTTTTCGCCCCTGGCCTTGGTTCTCTTCCTGCTCCGGGTTCTTAGATTCGAGGTGACCCATGACGTAGCGCATCAATACCTCTAAATATCGCGCGACTACCACTCCCGACGCACACTACGCCGTCTGGACAGCGCCGCGCTGGCAGGATACTGCCAGTCCTCGCCCCCAACTCTCTTAGGCGTGGAAACAAGCGGCACTAATCAATCGTATGGTGCTCCCTAACCGCAGCGTCGTGTCTGAGAATGGAAGGACTGTGTGGATGCTCCGTTTGTCCGCTCCCCAGGATGCCCTTCCATTCTTCAGGATTGAGCTCCACAAATGATGTCCAATATCCGCATTGTTGGTGCTGAAGGCATTCGTGGGGGTGATTTCCTCGCCGACCCAATAATTTTCAACACACACTTATCAAAGCTGCCGCTCACAAAATCGCTTCTACGGAAGTAGCAATCAGTTAAGATTGGACTCCAGCACTCCAATGGATTCGCAGCCTAATCCTGGTCAGGTCTTCATCTCTGGGCTATCGTCGTCCACTAGCACTCATCCACATGCCATGCATGCCTCCACACAGCATTAAAACACTCAGCGCGCGATGTTCAGCACTCTGTATTCTCGTGAGACAGTTAATCGCGCATCTCGCGCTTTTGCCTGGCCAGCTTCTTCTTGGAGACCTTCTTCTTAGTGGGCTCGTCGTCAGTGACGCGCGACACGACATCCTGCTTCTCGGTCAGGATCACCTGCCGGGGAGGGGTGCCGCCGTCAGCTGGGCCGACCGCGCGGGGCCGCAGGCGGGGTCACGTGTACGACGGCGCACGAGCCGAGACGGACACAACACCGGCATACCCAGCGGGGGGCGGACAAAACGTCGGCACACCGAGCCGGGGTCGGAACCACACCGGCACACCGAGTGGGGGGGGGGGGGGGAGGGGTGGACACAGCACCGCCACACTGAGCGGGAGGAGGGGGGGGGGGGGGGCAACACAGACCCGGCACGAGTTCACACTAAGCGGGAGGGGGAAGGGTCAACACAGACCCGGCACGAGTTCACACTACGCGGGAGGGGGGAGGGACCAACACAGACCCGGCACAACGAGTTCACACTAAGCGGGAGGGGGGGAGGGGTCAACACAGATCCGGCACGAGTTCACACTAAGCGGGAGGGGGGAGGGGTCAACACAGACCCGGCACGAGTTCACACTAAGCGGGAGGGGGGAGGGGTCAACACAGATCCGGCACGAGTTCACACTAAGCGGGAGGGGGGGAGGGGTCAACACAGACCCGGCACGAGTTCACACTAAGCGGGAGGGGGGAGGGGTCAACACAGATCCGGCACGAGTTCACACCAAGTGGGAGGGGGAGGCATCAACACAGACCCGGCACGAGTTCACACTAAGCGGGAGGGGGGGGGGAGGGGTCAACAGAACCGGCACAAGTCGAAGGCGGACATAGCACCGGCACACCGAGTGGAGCTGGGGGACACAGCCGACTGCCACTCGCTCGGATCGAGTGAAAGCTACGATTTGATAGTGCTGTTGTGGTCTTACAAAGAAGGATTGCTTTCCAAGATTGCAAAACAGATTGTTGGCAGCTATCACCTTTCAACAGGCAAAAACGGACGTGGCTGACCTTGGAGCGTGTGTAAGGTAGGGACGGCACTGCTCAGTGTGCTTTCACCAGCAGGGGAAATCAGAACACACTAAACACCGGCCGCACGAAAAATATACAACGTATGAACCTTGCACAATTTCGAAACGCTCTCGCCCTGGAGAACTTTAGGAACGAGACCTACACACTGCCTACACACAACGTCCCAATCGCTCCAATCTGACCAAACTGATAACACAGTGACCCATGTTTCACAGAGTACACAACCATAAAGTGACAGTGACGCACGCCCGCCGGCCCACACCGGCCTTAAATTAATCACCATCGTCCGGGCAGGCGACCAGGAGCGCGCCGTTTCCTAACCAGCGTACGGGGCTGCACGGGCGGAAGTCTCACCTCGACGTGGCATGGGCTGGCCATGTAGGGGTTGATGCGTCCGTGAGCGCGGTACGTGCGCCGGCGCATCTTGGCCGCGCGGTTGACCTGGATGTGCTCCACCACCAGATGGTCCACGTCCAGCCCCTTGAAGTCGGCGTTGGCCTCAGCGTTGCGCAGCAGCTGCAGCAGGTGTTCGCACGACTTCTTGGGCCAGCGGCCCTGCGTGGTGCCGAACGCCTTGGCCTGCAATGACGCGGATGTGGGAACGGCGCGGCAAGGTGCGGGCCCACGGCGGACCGGGAGCAGACCGGGGCTGGTGCCGGCAGCACGTGGCGACGCATCTAGTGGTGGGAATGGGTACGGCAGACCACCAACTGGGACAGACAACCAAACTGTTTCTTGTGAGGGATTTCAGGGCAGATTGCAGATGACCTGCATCTGGCTGTACCACCAAGAACTTAAGATCACTGAACATTTGGGACTACGGCTTTGGCATACCAATGGAGGACAAGATTTGCAACCATTGAACAATCCACGTGACTGGCGCAGTTGGACGTACAGGGGCAGCGCAGCCCAGAAGGCTCCGCAGGTGTGCGGCTGTATTTCTCAAAGGCTCTTTGGCTTTAGGGGGAGCAGGTATTCAAAACCAGTTTTAACTGAGGCCTATTGTCTGAAACTTCAGTGTTCCTTGGCAGTTTTTAACCCCAATACATTTTGTTCTCCACAAATATAGACCGGAAAGAATCTAAAAATTGTTCTCTGTGTGCGACATTGAGAGTATGAGACTGTGTTGTTCCAGTGTGCCATTTTTAATACTGATGTTTCCTTTCATTCAAAGTGCATTTACATGAATTCCTGCATATGAAAAGTAGCACTTTTGTTGAGTGCCACCCATTGTACTATTCTTCCCATTGTACTATCTCTTCTCCCTCAAAGATAACCTAAATAAAGCTGTAATGACCTGCAGCACTTAGATGTTATACTCCGCTACCAGAATTTTTTTTGGAATTCCCCCAACTCGACCACAGTCCAAACTTCCTACTGATGCATCTGAATATGAGATCATTAGCACCGCCACTTCCGGTGTTAGGTGGGGCCAACAAAAGCTTTCCTCGGTGGAAGTTGGGTGCCACACATACCTTGGTCTCCTCTGATTCCATTAAAATCCCTCATAAGCTGAGACCAGTTTTTTCGGCCACATTACGATGTTGCCAGAAAGTCGCTACTGAATGGTGGCTTACAGCAAACATTGGTTATATTGAAGCACTAACCTCTAAAAAATGTATCCCTTGTCATCAAAAAGGCATGGAATCAGTCATTACAAAGAGGGTGTCATCAAAAGCACAGCCAGCCAGATCTTGTCTGCCATGCCACTGACGCTACATGCATTGGGACAAGCTTGAGCACCACCTTGTCGATTATTCAAGACTGCACCCCCACTGTTATCTGTTGATGCTGACCTGGGCACAACGTCCAACTCCGCCGCTGAACTTGGTGAAAGGCACACACTCCTTGTGGCCGATCACATTCTTCAGGTAGCGGGTTGCCCGCCTCAGGGGCATCTTTTTCAGCACCTTGGCCGTTTCATAGGTGTTCTGTAATTAAAAGCACAAATATACAACATAAGCTTACATTCCCTATCTTAATACCTATATATAATAAAAGACTGATAGCTAACATTCCCTAACTTCATAACAAAGAAAGACTGGGATGATGAAGCAATCTCAATGCCAACCCTGCATAGCAATACTGGTTTAAACTACTGCACATCTACAGCTTGGAGACTACCCATCCATCAACATGAAACACACGATCATAAAGTCAAACTTGATTTCAACTCTAATACAGTCACAGACAAAGCCACAAAAATATATCACTGGAGACCACAAAAATACATCAAGTTTATGATATTGCACCCTTGTAACAAATCTACTGTGATAATGTCCAAGCTGAATATGCAGGCAAACAGTTCAAGTACAGCACAAGAAGCACACCT